TGAGGCTGCAGTGAGCTGTGATGACGCCATTACACTCCAGCCTTGGAGACAGAGTGAGACCCTGTCTCTTACAAAAAACAAAAATTGCCAGCTTGGAGAACAGTGTCTGGCACATCATAGATGCTCAGTAAATACCTGCCAAATGAGTAAGCTAGTCTGCTGGCTTTCCACAGGCTGTGAAATGGTATCTTAAGGGTTGAGCAAATCTTACCTAGATATTTATTTATTTATTTATTTATTTATTTATTTTATTTATTTTATTTGAGATGGAGTCTCGCTCTGTTGCCCAGGATGGAGTGCAGTGGCATGATCTTGGCTCACTGCAACCTCCACCTCCCAGGTTTAAGCGATTCTCGTGCCTCTCAGCCTCCCAAGCAGCTGGGATTACAGGCATGCACCACCACACCCGGTTAATTTTTGTATTTTGAGTAGAGACGGGGTTTCACCATATTGGCGAGCCTGGTCTCGAACTCCTGACCTCAGGTGATCTGCCCATCTCAGCCTCCCAAAGTGCTGGCATTACAGGAATGGGCCACCACAAATGGCCAGATTTATTTATTTTTTTTTATTTTAAAGACAGGATATCTCACTGTGTTGCCCAGGGTGCAGGGCAGTGGCGCAATCTTGGTTCACTACAACCTTCACCTCCGAGGTTCAAGCGATTTTCCTGCCTCAACCTCCCAAGTACCTGGAATTACAGGCATGTGCCATCACACCCTGCTAATTTTTGTATTTTTAGTAAAGATGGGGTTTTACCACGTTGGCCAGGCTGGTCTCGAACTCCTGGCCTCAAGTGATCCAACTGCCTCGGCCTCCCAAAGTGCTGGATTACAGCCAGGTGGTAAGCCATCACGCTTGGCCCTTACTTAGATTTTAAGGAGCAGGCAATACTGACGCCTGGCAAGTTTTCAACCTTTCTTTTCTTCTTCTTTTTTTTTTTTGAGACGAAGTCTCGCTCTGTCGCCCAGGCTGGAGTGCAGTGGCGCAATTTGGCTCACTGCAAGCTTTGCCTCCCAGGTTCACGCCATTCTCCTGCCTCAGCCTCCCGAGTGGCTGGGACTACAGGTGCCCACCACCATGCCCAGCTAATTTTTTGTATTTTTGGTAGATACGGGGTTTCACCGTGTTAGCCAGGATGGTCTCAATCTCCGGACCTAGTGATCCGCCCGCCTTGGCATCTCAAAGTACTGGGATTATAGGCATGAGCCACTGCACCTGGCCAGTTTTCAACCTTTCTAAGAAGAAATAGCTCATTTTGGCCGGGCATGGTGGCTTACACCTTTAATCCCAGCACTTTGGGAGGCTGAGGCAGGTAGATCACGAGGTCACGAGTTTGAGACCAGCCTGGCCAAGACGGTGAAACCCCATTTCTACTAAAAATACAAAAATTAGCAGGGCGTGGTGGCACGCACCTGTAATCCTAGATACTCGGGAGGCTGAGGCAGGAGAATCACTTGAACCCGGGAGGCGCAGGTTGCGGTGAGCCGAGATCACGCCATTGCACTCCAGCCTGGGTGACAGAGCGAAACAAGAGCAAAACTCCGTCTTAAAAAAAAAGCAACAGCTCATTTTAAAAAAAACTTTTTGATTATTTTCCAGCATACAGCAAACATGATAAGAACACACACATTTAGAAACCACCGACTTTCTACAAAGAAGAAAAGAACTCAGAACTAATATAAGCCGGGCGTGGTGGCTCACGCCTGTACTCCCAGCACTTTAGGAGGCCGAGGTGGGCAGATCATGAGGTCAGGATATCAAGACCATCATGGCTAACACGGTGAAACCCCATCTCTACTAAAAAAATACAAAAATTACCCAGGTGTGATGGCACGCGCCTGTAGTCCCAGCTACTTGGGAGGCTGAGGCAGGAGAATCGCTTGAATTTAGGAGGTGGAGGTTGCAGTGAGCCGAGATCGCACCACTGCACTCCATCTGTGTGGCAGAGCAAGACTCCATTTCAAAAAAAAAAAAAAAAGAACTAATATAAATTATATGTCTTTACTGGGTGGTTAAGTCTGAATTTATGAGCAAAGTATAAACTCAAAGGAATTTTTAAGTATTGGAGCTGAAATTAAAAACAGATTTCAAATCTTGTTATTTTTCAAGTGTAAATTCACATAGTTTTAATAATGTCTTCAACGAATGGTGCTGGGACAACTGGATATCCATATGCTAAAAAAATGATGTTGGACTCTTCTCTCACACCATATACAAAACCAACTCAAAATAAATCAAAAGACCTAAATATAAGAAGTAAAACTATAAAAAGCCCTTACAAGAAGATAAAGGGATAAGTCTTTGGGATACTGGATTTGGCAATGTTTTCTTATACATGATACCAAGAGCACAAGCACCGAAAGAAATATTAAAGAAATTGGACTTCATCAAAATTAAAAACCTTTGTGCTTCAAAGAACACTATAAAGAGTGAAAAGACAATTCATATGACCCACAATTCCACTGCTAGGTGAATGTCCAAGAGAAATTAAAACATGTGCACCCAAAAATGTTCAAAGCAACACTATTTGTAATACTCAAAAGGTGTAAACTCAAACGTTTACCAACTGCTGAATGGATACACAAATGTGACATATCCATATGACAGACCATTTATTCAGCCATAAAAAGGAATGAAGGCCGGGCGTGGTGGCTCACGCCTGTAATCCCAGCACTTTGGGAGGCCGAGGTGGGCGGATCACAAGGTCAGGAGATCGAGACCATGGTGAAACCCCGTCTCTACTAAAAATAGAAAAAATTAGCCGGGCGCAGGGGCGGGCGCCTGTAGTCCCAGCTACTCGGGAGGCTGAGGCAGGAGAATGGCGTGAACCCGGGAGGTGGAGCTTGCAGTGAGCCGAGATTGCGCCACTGCACTCCAGCCTGGGCGACAGAGCGAGACTCCGTCTCAAAAAAAAAAAAAAAAAAAAAAAAAAAGGAATGAAGTACTGGTCCTACATCATGGATGAACCTTAACAACATCATGTTAAGAAGAAGTCAGTTTGTTTGTTTGAGACAAAGTCTCTCTCTGTCGCCCAGGCTGAAGTACAACAGCACAATCTGGGCTCACTACAACCTCCGCCTCCCAAGTTCAAGCAATTCTCCTGCCTCAGCCTCCTGAGTAGCTGGGATTACAGGCACCCACCACCACGACTGGCTAATTTTTGTATTTTTAATAGAGACAGGGTTTCCCCATGTTGGCCAGTCTGGTCTCGAACTCCTGACCTCAGGTGATCCGCCTGCCTCAGCCTCCGAAAATGCTAGGATTATGGGCATGAGCCACCGCGCCTAGCTGGAAGAAGTCAGTTATAAGACCACATAATTGCATTTATATGAATTGTCCAGAGAGAAAAAGAAGGTAGATTTATGATTGCCAGGGAATGAGAGAAGGAGGAAACAGGTTTGCTTAACCGCATGCTTAATGAGTATGGGGTTTCTATTTGGGGTGATGATTTTGTCCAAAGGCTTAGCAACTGTATTCCTCCCCCTTTATGCTACATCCAACACCTGTGCTAGAAGCTATCTAAAGAAGTCCTAAGCTGCTTCATGCCAGCCACAAGGAAAGGCAACAGCTTCAGTACATGCCAATCAAAGATGAAGAACCCCAGTATAAGAAAGGTTGCTACTGACAGTTAGTGTGGGAGATAATGGTAAATCATGTTTCATTTGACTATGGTAAGACAATTACAAACATAAAACAATGCAGCATTACATCACTCTGATATCATATACTTCCCCAGACCAGAGTTTCTCAATTTTGGCACTACTGACATCTAGACCAGAATAATTCTTTGTCATGTGGGCTGTCCTGTGCACTGTAGGATGTTTAGCAGCATCTCTGGCCACAACCCACTACGCACTAGTAGCATTCTCCAGTCATGGCGATTACAAATGTTTCCAGACATTGTGCCCCAGGCGGCAAAATGGCCCTCAGATGAGAACCACTGCTCTAGACTAAAATACTGAACATTCTGTCCAACATTAACATACATAAAGTGATGAACCTTAGGGTTATGGGTTGGTAAATGAGAGAAGACAAAACAACCTGGACCACTTGGGACTGCCACGGGTCAGCTTCCTAAAAGCCAATGTTTGGGAAAGGATTATGGGAAAATGTAAGCAGAGAGAGCTGAAATCTTGAAAATACATTCCTGCCGGGCGCGGTGGCTCACGCCTGTAATCCCAGCACTTTGGGAGGCCGAGGCGGGCGGATCACAAGGTCAGGAGATCGAGACCACGGTGAAACCCGTCTCTACTAAAAATACAAAAAATTAGCCGGGCGCGGTTGTGGGCGCCTGTAGTCCAGCTACTCGGGGGCTGAGGCAGGAGATGGCGTGAACCCGGGAGGCGGAGCTTGCAGTGAGCCGAGATCGCGCCACTGCACTCCAGCCTGGCGACAGAGCGAGACTCCGTCTCAAAAAAAAAAAAAAAAAAGAAAATACATTCCTAGGATCAGAACAATGATCACCTAAATGAAGGGGAGTTGGAATAAAGCAGCACGCACCTGGTAATGCATTTAATTGTCATAGTTCTGCTGATTTTTTTTTTTTTTAGATGGAGTCTTGCTCTGTTGCCCAGGCTGGAGTGCAGTAGTGCAATCTTGGCTCACTGCAACCTCTGCCTCCAGGGTTCAAGCAATTTCCTACTTCAGCTCCTGAGTAGCTGGGATTACAGGCGCCTGCCACCACACTGGGCTAATTTTTGTATTTTTAGTAGAGACGGGGTTTCACCATGTTGGTCAGGCTGGTCTCGACCTCCTGGCCTCATGATCCGCCCGCCTTGGCCTCCCAAAGTGCTGGGATTACAGGCGTGAGCCACCACGCCCAGCCTGTTCTGCTGATTTAATTCCCTTGTGGATCAATGATGCTCAAAGACCAGTAGAGAAATGGTCTTTGCTATCTGCATGCTGGATGCCTATCATGTCTACCCTAGGGATAAAGGCAGCTATTCAGACACTGCCAGAGAGTTTCTGGTTTCTGTGAGGAAAATAAAAACACTGCCTACCTGAGAGTCCCGTTCTCTCCTTTGTCCAGGCTGGTGAACCGGCTGTAGAGGCGAGTGATTTGACTGTGGGAAACTAAAGAGCACAAAATTAGTCCCAGCTGGCGGGGAGTAGCCCTCATTCACGCTGAACCCACCCCTCGCTGTCAAATGCTTCAAAATTCAGTAGGACAGGGATGTCGCAACTCTTATCTCTAGAATGTTAAAGCAGAAAGTTTAAAAGCTAAAGAATGAAAGGAGTTAGAAAAAAACTAAATCAAGGGCAATCAAAATTCAATCTCAGAAATGAAGTCTAGGCTTAATTAAGACTGTGATGAATATCAGATAGTTAAGACTTAACAAAACAAAGGCAAATTTTTGTCCTGTCCTGTCCAATCCTATCCCATCCTATTTTATTGAGACAAAGTTTTGCTCTTGTCACCAAGGCTGGAGTGCAGTGGTAAGATCTCAGCTCACTGCCACCTCCGCCTCCTGGGTTCAAGTGATTCTCCTGCCCCAGACTTCCAAGTAGCTAGGATTACAGGTATCCGCCACCACACCCAGCTAATTTTTTGTATTTTTAGAAGATACGGGGTTTCCCCATGTTGGCTAGGCTGGTCTTGAACTCCTGACCTCAGGTGATCCACTCACCTCAGCCTCCCAAACTGTTGGGATTATAGGGGTAAGCCACCATGCCCGGCCCAAATTTAGTTTAAAAGGAAGCTGTGAAACTTTCATGTTTCAATGCGCTGACTTAGACACTAAGTTTTTTTTTTTTTTTTTTTTTTTTTTTTTTCTGAGATGGGGTTTCACTCTTTTTGCCCAGGCTGGAGTGCAATAGCAAGATCTTGGCTCACTGCAACCTCCGCTTCTCAGGTTCAAGCGATTCTCCTACCTCAGCCTCCCAAGTAGCTGGGATTACAGGCACCCACCACTAAGCCCAGCTAATTTTGTATTTTTAGTAGAGACAGGGTTTTGCCATGTTGACCAGGGTGGTCTTGAACTCCTGACCTCAGGTGATCCACCCGCCTCAGCCTCCGAAAGTGCTGGGATTACAGGCGTGAGCCACCATGCCCAGCCTATTTTACTTATTTTTCAAATTTTATTTTATTTTATTTTATTTTTTGGGGATAGAGTCTCACTTTGTCACCCAGGCTGGAGTGCAGTGATGTAATCTCTGCTCACTGTAACCTCCACCTCCTGGGTTCAAGCAATTCTCGTGCCCCAGTCTCCCAAGTAGCTGGGATTACAGGCATGAGCCACAGTTCCCAGCTAAAAATGCCTGTTTTGATTGAAAAACAGTTTGATCAGTTTGCTGTTTTAGGCTGTACTGCTAGGTAGGTGTTGTGTGTAGAATGTTTGATTGAGGTACATCAAACAGATTCTATTTTAAAAATCTGGTTTACTCCTACACCAAGATTAGAGGCTTTATCTTTTCCCTAGGGATGGACCTTTGGGTAAAAGATCAGCCTCTTTTCTGTGCTTGCATGAGCTTCACTGAGTTCCCAGGAAGGGAACTGGCTCCAAGGAAGCACATTAGGCAAATTCGTAAAATGGTCATGCTATCATCAGATGACACTTACCAGAAAGCTATTTTGCTCCTCATTTTGGATTTAGTCCATAAACTCAAGATACAAGTTGACAATTAAAATGACGCAATAATGGCAGGTACACAATAACACTAAAAACTCAAAAAGGCCTTTCTGGGAAATAGTTTAGTCTCCTGATAGATTGGAAGTAAGAGAGAGGAAACAAACAGAGTTATCAGAGGAGAAAAGACAACAGCCAAAAAGGGTGTGACAAGCGTGGACTTTGTCCTAGGCTGTACCTTCAGAGGTTTAAAGGGTGGCCAAAGTAGTTCTGATAAGGTGTCCTCCGGCCTCAGCTCATGAAACAAAAATTTACTTGTAGTGTTGGGAACAATGGGACAAAGTAAACAGGGACAAGCAGGTGGTGAGTGGCTCAGAGCTAGGATAAAAGGACACACTGTGTGTGGCTGTGAATTCTTCAGCATCAGGTTTCACCCTTGAAGCTGGGCTCTGTTCTGTCCTAGCGCTCTAAGGTGATCACTGAGCAGAGAAGGCAAAAGCATTTCCTCAGGGCAGAGCCAGCAGGGATCCAGTCACTAAGGAGACAGTTGTGGACTGTTTTGCCAGTCAGGCAGGTATAAATGGCTCACTGTGAAGTGTACACACACGTGAGGGTTAGGCAGACAGATTCTGATTCCATTCCTAGCACCACCACTTACTAGAGAGGGGTATGTGAATGGGATCGTAGAGCGAACTCACCAGTCAATGAAAGGAAAGTGCTTGGCAAAGTGCCTGGCACATAGCAAGCACTCCAGGTCAGCTATTATCAGCATCATGCTTACATCCTGAGCCTGAAAGCACACGTATTACTGCTGCACTAATCACCCCCCATTTCCCTGCTGACTTTGCCAGTTACAACAGTTTTCTTTAAGTTAATCCTGCTTAACATTACAGATAGTCATGATGACCAGTTCTATCAGATACCGTAGTGGCGCCTGTAGTTAGCTTGGGGCGGGAGGGGGGGGGGGGGGGGGGGGATGGGCCTGCATCCAGTGGCACAGCAAATCCTTAAAAAAAAAAAAAAAAAAAAAAAAAAAAACCAGTTCTGGCCTCAGGCCTCACAGGCTACTCTTGCACTAAAGTTTCCTTTAGTTTAGCAAAAATAAGTCAGTTAAAGAATTACTAAATTTTGGGCCGGGCGCAGTGGCTCACACCTGTAATCCCAGCACTTTGGCAGGCCAAGGGGGGTGGATCAAGAGGAAAAGAGATCGAGACCATCCTGGCCAACATGGTGAAACCTCGTCTCTACTAAAAATACAAAAATTTGCTGGGCATAGTGGCGTGCGCCTGTAGTCCCAGCTACTTGGGAGGCTGAGGAAGGAGAATCACTTGAACCAGGCAGGCAAAGGCTGCTGTGAGCGGAGATCCCATCACTGCACTCCACTTAAAAAAAAAAAAAATTACTACACTTCCCAAAAGCAAAATTTGTTCACAATCCCAACACTGCCATTTTCATTTCTTCATATACCTTTTTTTTGAGACAGAGTTTCGCTCTTGTTGCCCAGGCTGGAGTGCAATGGTACATTCTCGGCTCACCACAACCTCCCCCTCGCGGGTTCAAGCGATTCTCCCGCCTCAGCCTCCCAAGTATTTGGAATTATAGGCATGCACCACCACGCCCAGTTAATTTTGTATTTTTAGTAGAGACGGGGTTTATCCATGTTGGTCAAGCTGGTTTTGAACTCTCAACCTCAGGTGATCCACCCTCCTCGGCCTCCCAAAGTGCTGGGATTACAGGCTTGAGCCACCGCGCCTGGCTCTTCATATATCATCTAATATCAGTTACTTGTATACTTTACTAAGTTGTAATAGCTTGCTTTTCATTTAGTAATTCACACTTTTTCTATATTGCTTTGGAGTACTTCTTAATTCAATTTATATAATTTTAAAATTGGAAGAAAGGTTATCTAATCCGACCCCTTCAATGAACAAATGAGAGCCAGGCATGATGGCTGGCACCTATAATCCCAGGACTTTCAGAGGCAGAGGCAGGACAATAATTTGAGGCCAGGAGTTCAAGGCCAGGCTGGGGAACAGAGTGAAACCTCTTCTCTACAAAAATAAAAAAAAAATTATTTTAAACCAAAAAAAATCCACATATGAGCCATTAAACATCTTTCTAATCTATATCATCCAAAATAACTGGGCACTGAGGCCGGGCGCGGTGGCTCACGTCTGTAATCCCAGCACTTTGGGAGGCCGAGGCAGGCGGATCATGAGGTTAGGAGATCAAGACCATCCTGGCAAACACGGTGAAACCCTGTCTCTACAAAAAATTAGCCAGGCGTGGTGGTGGGCGCCTGTAGTCCCAGCTACTCGGGAGGCTGAGGCAGGAGAACGTCATGAACTCAGGAGGTGGAGTTTGCAGTGAGCGGAGATCACACCACTGCACTCCAGCCTGGGTGACAGAGCGAGACTCTGTCTCAAAAATATAGAAAATAAAAAATAAATAAATAAATAAATAAAATAAAATAAAATAACTAGACACTAAAACCTCCCATAGTATGTTAAGACCAGTTTATGGCTGCTAAATTCAAAATGTGGCAGGGCGTGGTGGCTCAAGCCTGTAGTCCCAGTACTTTGGGAGGCTGAGGGCGGGCAGATCACCTGAGGCCAAGAGTTCAAGAGCAGTCTGGCCAACCTGGTGAAACCCTGTCTCTACTAAAAATACAAAAATTAGCCAGGTGTGGTGGTGTAATCTCAGTTACTTGGGAGGCTGAGGCAGGAGGAGAATCGCTTGATCCTGGGAGGCAGAGGTTGCAGTGAGCTGAAATCTCACCACTGCACTCCAGCCTGGGTGACAGAGTGAAATTACGCCTCAAAACAAAACAAACAATAACAAAAAAAGTACTAATATGTTAAAAATAAATAATGTAAATAAGTAGCCAAAACATTTAAAAAAATCTGCTATCTTCCAGGATGAACTGGGTTATATGGGAGTCAGTGGAGAAACATAAAACCAAATGTCAACTTTTAATATTAATGAATATGGTCATATCTAAACTAATCTCGAAAATTTTAGGACAAATTTTAGAACCGTAATGATATGGTTACAAATAATTCTGTTAACAGCCGGGCGCGGTGGCTCAAGCCTGTAATCCCAGCACTTTGGGAGGCCGAGACGGGCGGATCACGAGGTCAGGAGATCGAGACCATCCTGGCTAACACGGTGAAACCCCGTCTCTACTAAAAAATACAAAAAACTAGCCAGGCGAGGTGGCGGGCGCCTGTAGTCCCAGCTACTCGGGAGGCTGAGGCAGGAGAATGGCGTGAACCTGGGAGGCGGAGCTTGCAGTGAGCTGAGATCCGGCCACAGCACTCCAGCCTGGGTGACAGAGGGAGACTCCGTCTCAAAAAAAAAAAAAAAACCAAACAAAAAACAAATAATTCTGTTAACAAAAAGGAGAGAAGGCTTTAATTTAGGTACCAAATTCACTGTGACAAAGAATATAAAGCAATCTCAGAACAATCCCAATCTCCCTATAAAGGAGCTACACCATCTATGTGT